AGATCTCTGAGATTCTGTTCCTTTCTCTTTTACTGTGTTTTATTTGTGTGGCAGAGAGGATTTTCAGTTGAGTAATTTCTGTTGCTCTCTCTTTGAGTTCACTGAACCTTTTGTCTGCCATGTCCAATATTCTGGATGCATTTTTAGTGAGTGTTTTAATTTTAGTTGAAGGAGTGAGGGATAAAATATATCTGATAATAAAAAGAAATCTACATTTCAGTTTTGCTTGTCTATATTTTTCATGTAGACATTTGTTTGTAACACATTTTACTCACCTATTTTTAATTTTTATTTCTATTTATTTTCCTGGAATTTTCTTTCTTATTAAATGAAGTGTTATGAATTACAGTTGGTCTTTTCTACTTAATTGCATTTAAATTATTATCAAATGCTTGTTAGCATTCTCAACTTATTTTACATCTGGTCAATTAGTGTGATATTTCTTGTATACTTGTATTTATTAATAAAGTGCCATGATTTGATTCCTTTTTGACATATCATTGATAATGATTATTTCCAAGCTGCATCTAATTTTGACATACATCTAATTGTTTTGTATGCTTGATATAGGGATGTTAAATACTATGACAGTTTACTAAGTTCTTATTTTATTTTTGTTCCTACTTATATTAATGAAATATTTTTTTAATTTCAACATTTTCTTAATTGTTTGCTTAAGAGTTGGATGTTGCTCTGTCACCCACGCTCGAGTGTGTGGTGTGAGCTCATTGTAACCTCAAACTCCTTGGCTCAAGGAATCCTCCCACCTCAGCCTCCCGTGTAGCTGAGATTACAGGCACATGCCACCACAGCCAGCTAATTAAAAAAAAATTTTTTTTTTAATAGAGGCAGGGTCTTTCTATGTTCCCTAGGCTGGTCTCAAACTCTGCACCCTCAAGCAACCCTCCCACCTTGACCTGTCAAAGTGTTGGGATTACAGGCATGAGCTATCACCCCTGTCCAATTTTAACATTTTTATTAACGAATTCTTTTAGCTATAAGTGAACATGTTAGTATCTAGTAGGGCTAAAACTAGGAAATACCTTTTATGTATTTCTCATGGTTAACAGATTGCTATGTAGAATGCTCGTTTTTTTAAAAAAAAGATTGAGGTATTTGTGTTCTTTTACATATTGGAATCATTTTTCAACTCTCTATTGTGTACTTACATACCCTTTTCTAATCTGCAGATGTCAATGTTTTTTGAATTTTATTAAATGGATTTTAGTGCTACATTCTGTTTTTTTGTGTAGACTTCTATGAGTTTTGACAAATATGTGCAAATGTGTATGTAACCACAATCACAATCAAGTAGTTCATCACCTTCTAGAATTTTATAGTTAGCTACTTTGCCAACTCTAACCACTCATGACCGCTTACCAGTTTCCTAGCACTGTATTTTGGTTTTTCAAGAATGTCATATAAATGGCATTATACAGCATGTAGCCTTTTGCATCTGGCTTCTTTCACTTAGTATGATGCATCTGACATTCTTTCAGGTTTTTTTTTTCAGTAGTATTTCTTTCTGTTGGTGATTAGAATTTTGTTGCAGCCTATTCATCCATTGCCCAGTGTAGGAATATTTGGATTCTTTCCAGTTTTTGTGATGGTGAATAATACAACTGTAAATATATATGTACAGATTTTTATCTGAACATAGGTTTTTATTTCATTTGAGTAAATGTCAAGTGTTCAAATAGTTCCTAAGCAACAGTATATGATATAGCTCGTAGGTTGACATGCTATACTTCTCTAGATTCAGCTGTTAAGGAGGCAAGGCACCCAAATAGATTTAGGTAGTATATTACTTATTGGCACAGCAGGGAACATGAACTTCATGTTTGCACTGGTTCTTCTTTCCTCCCCAAGTCCCATGGGGGCAGGGCCAGGTACATAATGTGCACATGGAGTTTGTAGCACATCTGAGGGTCACTGAGCTTAGAAAATCCCCAGTTTTTAAGAAGTGTATATTTGTTTGTCAGGTCAGCCATAACAAAGTAGCACAGATTGGGTGGCTTAAACGTGTATTTTTCTCATAGTTCTGAAGGCTAGAAGATCAGTATCATAGTGGCCGCAGGATTGGTTTCTTCTGAGGTCTTTCTCCTTGGCTTACAGATGCTCACCTTCTTGCTGTGTCTTCACCTGGCTTTTTCTCTGTGCTTGCCCGAGAGTCTGGTATCTTTCTGTATGTCCCATTCTCTTTTGAGGTCACCAGTCAGACTGGATTAGGGCACATTCTAATGGCCTGTTTTTAACCAAACTACCTCTTTAATGGCCCTGTCTCCAAATACAGTCAAATTCAGAGTTGTAGGGGGTTAGAGCTTCAACCTGAAATTTGGGAGAACACAATTCAGTTCGTAACAGGATGTGTTATGTTTTTTATATCTATACTAATTCATTTTTGTCCTAAAAGCAAACAGAATTTGTAGAGTAGAGTCAGACTCTTATCACAGTTATGCAGTGTATACGATATCTCAGTCTACAATGCACTGCATATATGATGGTGGTCCGTCCCATAAGATCATAGTACTGTGTTTTTACTCTACCTTTTCTAGGTTTGTATATGTTTAGATACATACATACAATTGTCTTATAATTGCCTACAGTATTTAATACAGTATATGTTGTGCAGGTTTATAGCTTAAAAGCAATAGGCTATATTGTATAGCCTCGGTGTATAGTAGGCTATACCATGTAGGTTGGTTTAGGCATACTCTGATGTTCACACAAAGACGAAATTGCCTGACAACACATGTTTCAGAATGTATCCCTGTTGTTAAGCACCATATAATTATATTATTCTCAGCAACTGCTCCATTTCAGCATATCTCAGCAATAACTCCCTGCCCGTCCTCCCCATTCAGAGCGATGCAGTGAGGGCCAGATGTCTTCATGCTATGTGAAGGGGATTTCTTGTACTCTCAGTGAGGAAGGTTGAAATGATGCATCTAGGAGTTTATATAGGGCAGCTATTCAACTTTACCCCTCCTGATTAAGTTGTCATTTAATCTGATTGATTGTGGTTCTCTTGATTGCTTTGTGTTTTTTCTTGCCTTTTTTGTATGTCTCATATGTTGTTATTGTTCAAAGCTATACGTCTTGTGTAGGACAGTGGAAATTGAGGTAGTTTTTATTTCTGGGCATGTGTAGGTCTTTCTTTGTGCTAGGCCTTTAGTGTGGTGCATTGAGTTCATCTAGTCAGGGGTAGAGTTAGGTTTGGGATTTGTTGTTGTTGTTGGTTCTTCAATGCACTAGAGGCTTCATATTCCTCTAAAGTTACTTTGTATGTAGGATCAGAGCTGGTTGACTAGAGGATTTTTCTTTTGTCTTCCCCATCCTTAGTTTTAGATCTTTCCTTTGTGCTTTGCCTCAAATAAGGTCTCTCTCCCTGCTCAAGATCTTCTCTTCCAGTAGTAGACTATGTTACTTTTTACTAGGTACTGGTTAGCCTTTAATTGGTAGATGTTCTCTGTTCTGATGAAGACTGTCTTGGTAGCAGTAGGTCCCGGGTCTTGTGAGTGGGGCCTTCTCAATGATCCTGCTTTGCCTCTAGCTGTATAGGTCTGGGCCTTTCACCTATGTACCTGTTCCTGCCCACCCCTAACAGGGATAGAAAGTTTTTTTTTTCTATTTTTGCCTTTCAGCAGCAGTGGGTTTCCACCAATAGTCGTGGATTGACATGTTTTTTTGCCCTTCTCCCAGCATTTTAAGGCCTTTGTTCTGAAAGAAAGAGGAGAAAGATCCAAGCAGAGTTTCCTGCCTTTCATGCAATAACTGCTGCTGCCATTGCCCTACTTCTGTCCTGAACCTTGTCAGGTCTGTGGAGAAGCGCATGTAAATGAATATGAATTCCCCTGTGTTTGCAGCTCCGGGGCTCCATGTGTTTTCATTGTCCCATACTTGGCCTCTAGCAATTCATTAAAAGTGTTAGATGAATTTTTCTTACAGATGTCTGGGAACATTTGTCATTTAGGTAAGCAAGTTGCTATAAAAATTTTATTTATATCTTGGTGTGATTATAAACTTTGGCTTTTCTTTGTAACTATTTTTTTTTTTTTTCATTTCAGGGAAATCTTTCACTTATCTCTTCTTTAACTTATGACAGAAATAAAACAGTTGTTTTATTCTCATTAGAAGTACCTTGCTTTTCTCAGATTTCTGCTTAGTTGGTTGCCCTGTCACCTCAACACTGCTGGGTCAAGAAAAGTTTTGAGATTTACAGATTGTTTAACTTTTTGTTGTTGTTACTTTTTTCAGCTTTCTATCTTCTAAATGTAACTACTTTTGCTTTTGACTGTAAATCATTATGCATTGTTGATAACCATATTTTTATTTATGTTCTTATAAGTAAAATTGAGTTCTATTTTATAAGTAAAATTGATGTGTTTTTTGTTAGCTGTATCAAAGTCTGGAATATTAACCTGGGAGGCTAATAGGATCTATTTTTAAATTTTATTTACAGAAACCAGATTAAACACTTCATTTTATCTGAGACTCAAATAACTTTTTTTAAACTGACAGAGCTGGTTAGTTTCAGAAGCTGAACAAAGACTAAACTGTACTTACGTCTTAATCTGTAGATTTGTCCACACTATATTTATGATATTTCTGTTTTGCATTTCTAAATCTTTATTAAGTTTTCATTTCTTTCTAGGAGGAAACATCATTTTATTATTTTTTAGAGAACAATATTACAGATTAAAACAAAGCCAGGGAAAGTTGATCTAGTTATTGGCAAAATAAGGAACTCATAGTACCTACCTAATAGGATTACTTAAGAAATTATATTATAAACCTTGAAGTATTTGTAGACCTGATTTTTCTCTAGAAAAACGAATTCAGCGCTGTTCCTTGTCTTAAAATAGTTACCTGAACACAGTACTTTGACTTCTTGAAAGATAAAACTGTCGCTATAAAAATTCTAATTTTTATTTATATCTTGGTTTTATTATAAACTCATTTGACTTTTCTTTGTAACTATTTTTTTTTTCTCATTTCAGGGAAAACTTTCACTTATCACTTCTTTAACTTATTGTGGAAATAAAACAGCTGTTTTGCAGTTTGGACTACAAGGTATATAGTATAAGCAAACTATTTCTACTTTTTCCCTGTAATATGCAAATATGTGACTTCATATATATGTGTGTGTATGTACACACATACATATAAATGATTTCTGACAGGTAGTACATTAGTAGTAGTATGAAAATTTATAGAATGAAAAGTTAGTCTTTCCTCTAGCAAAGTTTTTCCCAAATATCCCTTCCCTTTCCCTCCCATTTCTTCTATTCTACTTCATGGCCCTTTACTCGCATACCTAGACCATTGCAGTAGCTAACTGGTCTTCCTGCTTCTAGTTTCACTTACGTGATTTAAACATCTTAGCAGCTTAACTGTCTTAAAACTTGGCTTTCAACATGTTACTTATTACATAGATGTACTTGTTAACTAGGTGTTGTTCTTACACAGGGGGAATTCTTTCTCCAGGTAGCCCTCAAATAATCATGGTAAGCTTGGAAGGGCTACTTTGTAACACTTAGGGACAAAAGTAGATCTCATCTGAAGCCTGTGGTTGGTTAGAACAGTCTGGAGCAGTAAATGGGAAACAAACTACAAAATTCCACAACTGCTGACAACTAAGTATATATCAGATACTGTTCTAGGTCCTGGGGTTATAGCTGTGAATAAAACTTAGTTCTTACCTTCATGGAATTTACATTTTAGGGGAATGAAGAAATGCAAGGAATAATTACATAAAGTAATATTAGGTAGAAAAGTGGTCTGGAGAAAAAGCAAGTTAAGGTGGTAGAGCTTAAAGGGAGGTATGAGAAATAAATTAATTTTCTGAAGAAGTTAAATATAAATACATTTATTAAGTAACAGATACTTGTAGAAAATTGAGTTACAGTTGTTTCTCTGTATCGGCATGAGATTAGTTCCAGGAGCCCCCTATGGATATAAAAATCTGTGGATGCGCAAATCTTATATAAAATGGCAAAATATTTGCTTATCACCCATGTGTATTCTCTCCACCATTTACATTAAATCATCTCTAGATTATTTATAATACCTAATGCAATGTACATGCTATCTAAATAGCTATACTATATATTTTTAAATTTGTATTATTTTTTATTGTTGTTGTATAATTTTTTTAAAAAACTTTTTTTCTGAATATTTTTCAGTCTGAGTTGGTTGAATTTACAGATGCAAAATTTGCAGATACAGGGCCAAGTATATGTCAGAAGAAGTGCTTTTTTTCTTTTTTATTTTTTTGGTACTTTCCGTGGTTAGTGCCCTCTACATAGCAGAAACTTGTGTAGAAAGACTTGATAATGTTAAACTGTCAATACTACCCAAAATGATCTATAGATTCAAGATAATCCCCATGAGAATTATAAAATTTGCTGCAGAAATGTAAGGACTAATCCCCAAATTTGTATGAAATTTCAAGGGGCTTCAAATTGCCACAACAACCTTAAAAAAGAACAACAAAGTCTTAATACTCAGGCTTCCCAGTTTCAAAACTTATCACAGAGCTGCAGTAATCAAAACAGTGGTACTGGCATAAGGATAGACAGAGATCAGTGGAGTACAATTGAGTCCAGAAATAAACCCATACTCTTTTTTTTTTTTTTCTTTCTTTCTAAGTTGGAGTCTTGTCTGTCTCCCAGGCTGGAGTGCAGTAGCATGACCTCGACTCACTGCAACCTCTGCCTCCTGGGTTCAAGCAGTTCTGCTGCCTCAGCCTCCCGAGTAGCTGGGACTACAGGCATGTGCCACCACATCTGGCTAATTTTTTGTATTTTTAGTAGAGATGGGGTTTCACTGTGTTAGTCAGGATGGTCTTGATCTCCTGACCTCATGATCCGCCCACCTCGGCCTTCCAAAGTGCTGGGATTACAGTAAACCCATACTGCTATGGCTAAGTAGTTTTTTGACAAGGATGACATGTTCAGTCAACAGTGAAAACAGTTAGATAAGAAAAAGAAATAAAAGACATTCAAATTATAAGGGAAGGAGTAAAACTATCTCTATTTAAAAATGACCATTTGTCTTTTCAACAAATAATAATGAGACAACTGGATTTCCACATGCAAAAGAATGAAATTAGATTCTTACCTTATATTATATACAAAATTTAACTCAAAATGGGTTAAACGTCTATATATGAGAGCTAAATTGATAAAGTCATTGAGAAATACAGAGGCAAATCTTCATGAGCTTGGATTTGGCAATGAATTGTTAAATATGATACAAAAGGGATGAACAATGAGGAAAAATTGATAAATTAAGCTTCATAAAAATTTTAAAATGTTATGCATCAAAGGACATTATCATGAACATGAAAAGACAGTGTATAGAGTGGTAGAAAATATTTGCAAATCATATATCTAATGAGGATTTGCTATCTAGGATATATAATGGACTTCTTAAATTCAACAACAAAAAGATAAACAATTCAATTAAAAAAATAGGTGATTAGAGTTAAGTATTTCCTCAAAGAAGAAATACAGTACTGATGATGGTTGATACGGTTTGGCTGTGTCCCCACCCAAATCTCATTTTGAATTGTAACTCCCACAATTCCCACGTGTCATGGGAGGAACCTGGTGGGAGGTGATTGAATTATGGAGGCGGATCTTTCCTGGACTGTTCTCGTGATAGTGAATGAGTGTCACGGGATCAGATGATTTTAAAAACCAGAGTTTTTCTGCGCAAGCTCTCTCTTTGCCTACTGCCATCCACATGAGATGTGACTTGCTCTTCCTTGCCTTCCGCCATGATTGTGAGGCCTCCCCAGCTATGTGGAACTGTAAGTCCAATAAACCTCTTTGTTTTGTAAATTGCCCAGTCTCGGGTATGTCTTAGCAGCTTGAAAACGGACTAATACAGTGGTCCTGGCGTTTTGGGGAGTATCTTATCTTCTGAAGCTGTGGCCATCTGTTAGCCTTCTGGAGCTGGAGCCTCTGCAGTATACCTTGCTAGTTTTTTGTATTTGAAATATTACTCTGAATACATCTGTGCTTCTTAAAGGAAATAGGAGAATTTGCATGTATTCATTAAGCCATTCACACATTTATTAAACAATATATTGAATACCTATGAAGAGCCGGGCCCTATTCCTAGGCACCGATGAGCCAAACAGACAAAGTTGTCCTTATGCAGCATACATTCTAGGGAAGAAAGACAATAAGTAAATATATACCTTTTCTAGTTGGAAACAGTGCTATGGAGAACATAAGGCAGTGGACGAAAGATGAGATGTGAACTGTAAACGTGAGAAGGGGAAGGAAGGTATGTATTTATTTGGTGGTGAAGAAAAGACTGACAAGTAACGTTTGATAAGAGACTTCAAAGAAGTGATGTGAAGATCCTTCAGGTATTTGAAATAAGAGTGTTCTAGAACAGAACTTAGCAATTACAAAAACTCTGCAGTGTGAGTGCATATTTCATATATGGCAAGGGGAGGCTCAGGGTATCTAAAACCCAGCAGGTGTGACTTGGAGTAAAACTCTTAATTCCATTGAACTTTTTTTTTTTCCCCTCCAATTTTAAAGATGGAGGTAATGATACCTGCCTTTCTGGATTGTTGAAAGGACTTGAGACAGAATATAGCCACTACTAGCACATAGTAGTAACTCAGTACATAGCAACTATTATTATCATCATTACTACTATTGTAATTAGATACAGCTTCAATGAAGAAGAAGACAGTAGAGGGAGGACATCTGAACCCTGAACCCAGTAGTTTAGCTTCTAATCCCTGCTTTTCTTCAGTTAATTATTGGCCCTTGAATAACATTGAATGTTGCCAGTTTCAAATTTAATCAAATATAAAGTAAGGGTTTTGGATTAGCTGAGAATTCTGAATAGTTTTGACATACAGTAGTTGCAGAAATTGTGGTGATTTATAAATAATTCAGTGCCCTTGAGAAATGGTACCATTTTTGTAAAACCTGTGGGGTCTGGAATAAAGATCCATTTCAAGCAAACTGTTAGAACATCTGCTTTTATTTTCTTGTTACAAGAATTTTGTGATACACTGTCAAACTCAGATTTTATCTTTTTTGCTCAAGTTGCTGTGAAGAACTGTTATATTTTTTTCTCACTTCTACTTTGAACAAAGAAAAGGAAAATCAGTGTTGTGTTAGTTTTCCATGTGCAGTGCTGTTACTAATCAGTGATATATCTTAAAATCTTGCTTTAGAATTTAGGGAAGTAATGCAGTTGCCATACAGTTCATGTCCTAAAGCTCGTAGTACAAATCATCAGACCATTTCTCTGAGATTGATTGCTGATAAAATTTTTAAAATCTTGATTGCAATATAGTTCTAATCTAGTTGATATGGCACAAAAATTCTAGAGACAAATACACTACGAAGAAGTTTCTGACAGTCATCAGGGAAGGACATTAGGAAATAAACTAGAAAAAAGCATGGATGCATATACACACAATCGTGCCTGCTTGAGGCGATTTCAGATAGGCATTAATTGCTCCAAAGGAATCCCTGTGTAAATATCTATTTTCATAAGGTGCTTTTTTTAGTTGGTGGCCCTAGTAAAGGTCTGCTACCATTACTGTTATTTGTATTATTCTTTCCCTTGAAGGCAAGACTTTATTTCAGCTTAGTTAAAATAATTAATATTTGAGATGACAGTTCTAAATTATTAAGAATTCAGTGTTGGTATCTTATAAAATTTTGCATTTATGAACATTAAATAAATGTCAGGTGCTAGTATGAATACAAAAACTCATTCACTAAAGAATTTTTGAAACATTTGTTTTAACACAATACAGAAAATAGTGTTGGGGTAAATGTAGGTAGAGTTACTCTGAGAGAGGTGTGTGTACATTATATTTGTATGAATATATTTAAACATTTTTCTGAGTGTATAAATCTGTTATACTTTTTCTCATTACTCTTAGGGTGTGTCTGTGTACCTGTCTGTGTTAACACACCTATGTGTGTTTATGTTTGGGAATTCATAACTTAAAGGGTTTTTCTAGTTAACATTTTAGATGTTTTGAGGTATAATGATGTAAAGAGATGCAAATTCTGATTTCTTGT